ATTTCTCCATATATCCTGTCGTTTTTTTTCTTTCTCCTCTTCTTTTGGTATTCCCATTATATGTATGTTGGTACGTTGGTATTATAAGAACATGAACTCTTAGGCTCTGTTCTTGTTTTGTTTCTCAGACAGGGTATTGTCAGTTGATCTTCAAATTTGCAGCTTTTTTCTTCCCCCAGCAAAAATTTGTTGTTGAACCCTCTTATGAATTTTTTTAAAAGGTTTTATTTTTTTAGGTAGTCTCTATACCAACATGGGGCTTTAACCCACAACCTAGAAATGAAGAGTTGCATTCTCTATTGACCGAGCCAGGGAGACGCTCCCATCTAGTGAATTTATTTGTTTTTGTACTTTTCATTTCTAGAATTTCTCTATGATTCTTATGTTTTCGGTTTCTTCATTGATAGTCTCTTATTTGGTGACACATTGTTCTTATACTTTCCTTTAGTTCTTTCAACATATTTCTAATAGTTGATTTCGAGTATTCATCTAGTAAGTTCATTGTCTGGGCTTCCTTTAAGGATAGTTTCTGTGACTAATTTTTTTTCTCCTCTATGGGCCATATTTTCTTGTTTCTTTACATGTACAATTTTTTTATACTTGACCAGCTAAAACTGGTCATTTACAATAATCCCTTGTGACAACTTTGGAAATCACATTTGCTCTTTCTCCAGATTTGTTGTTTCTTTTTTTTTTTTTTTAAAGATTTTATTTATTTATTTGAGAGAGAGAGAATGAGAGACAGAGAGCACGAGAGGGAAGAGGGTCAGAGGGAGAAGCAGACTCCCTGCCGAGCAGGGAGCCCGATGCGGGACTCGATCCTGGGACTCCAGGATCATGACCTGAGCCGAAGGCAGTCGCTTAACCAACTGAGCCACCCAGGCACCCCAGATTTGTTGTTTCTTAAGTGATTTTCCGGAACTAATTCCATAAAGTCTGTATTTTTTTTTTTTTTTTTTTTTTTTTTTTTTGATGTGTGTGGCTCCTGCAGTCTCTGCTTGATTAGCTTAGTGTTTGGCTAATGATTAGACAGATTTCCTTGAATGCCTTCAACCAGTAAATCTCATAGCCTTTGCTGAAGGGCTGTCTGTATATGTTGAGGAATGTTTTCAGTGTCCTGGCAGCCAGTTTATACATCTCTGCCTTCCCCTTTATTGTTTGCTTGTGCAGAGCCTCAAAGTCAGTCAGACATGAGACCTTAGTGTCTTCTTAGGTCTTTCCTCAGACTTTCTTACAGTCTTGCACATATATGCGTAGCCTTCCAGATTCCCAGGAATATGTCAGATTTTTTCAAAGTTCCCTGTGAATATATTCTCCATTTTTCTTTGTAAGTTTTTTGGTCAGTGTTTCTGCTCCAGTTTTATCACCTTGGGCGGCTGCCATGTTAAACAGTTGTTGGTGATTCTTTTTAATCATGGTTTCAGGGAAAAGAGGCTCTCCCACTAAGTGTGCCGTGAATCAGGTAAAATAAAACCCTGTGAATGGGGATTCTGGGATATGCCAGACAGGCGAAATAATTACAGTTCTCTTAGAATGGGGATTTTTGTGGGCACCTGGGTGGCTCAGATGGTTAAGCGTCTGCCTTCGGCTCAGGTCATGATCCCGGGGTCCTGGGATCGAGCCCCGCATCGGGCTCTCTGCTAGCCAGGGAGCCTGTTTCTCCCTCTGCCTCTGCCTCTCTCTCTCTCTCTCTCTCTGACTCTCATGAATAAATAAATAAAACATTAAAAAAAAAAAAAAAAGAATGGGGATTTTTGTGGTGCTCCAAACTTGGTCAGTTCCTTCCAGTGGCTTCAAGGCTTCTGGTTTTCAAACTATCATGATTGTGAGGCTGTTGATTTTTAGCTAGTGAGTCAGAGATGGAAGTAAGACACAGCAAAACAGTGAAAAACTTGTTATCCTTAGCAAGAGTAGCCGTTTTTCTTGAAGAATGCTCCTTGGATTGTTGCCAGCCTTTGTTTAGTTTCCAGAGCCTGAAAAACTTGATTTTGATAGATTTTGCCAATGTTTTCTTGGCTGCTTTGGAGGAGCAGATCTTTAGGGGTCCTTATTCTGTCATTTTGAAGGGCTCCTTCCCTGTTAGCTTTTATAATTGTAGTATTTTCTTTATCTCTTTGGAAGTATTAATGATATATTTTTAAAACTTCTCATTGCCTCTTCTTTCCTCTGTGTTGTGATTTTGGAGTATGTTCATCTTGGTCTCTTTCACTTTAAAAACTTTACTCATGTATCTTTGAATGCTTGGTTATCTGCTCATATTGAAGAGTAGTGGACTAAAAAGTCAAAAGCTCTTGAGTGTATGGGTGGAGCTTGTTGATTGTGAGCATACTAGTATTTGCTTGTACGAAATTATTTTAATTTTTAAAAATTACCTAATTTTGAGCCAGGTGGTTGGGAGGGAGAGGGAGAGAGAGAATCTTGAGCAGGCTCCACACCCAGCATGGAGCCCCACGTGGGGCTTGAGCTCACGACCCTGAGATCATGACCTGAGCTGTGAAATCAAGAGTCGGACGCCCAACCAACTGAGCCACTCAGGCACCCCTAAATTTATAAGATATTCTAGGAAGGAATAATTAGATCTAGATCTTACAGTAAAATAAATGCCAGTTGGATTGCAGAGTTGAATATAAATTTTGAATTCAGAAGAACCAGGGGAAGATTGTATTGGTTATTTGTCAAAATTTAAATTTGAGATCCAGAGATTTAAAATTAAAAAGTGAAAAAAAAGTTGGTGGCTTCGGAGAGTAGTCATTAGTTATATATTCAGTGTCTTTGAATGTATAAAACTCACCCTTCTGGGTTTGTGCAAATTCGTTGGTCCCAGAGAGGCATTTTGTATTGCTGTGTTCAGAGCTAAAGGCAAAAGCCATTCCTCAGGAAGTCTTCGTTGGTGCTAGACTGTCCTGAAGCCAGGTTACTGATCTCTTGAGGTGGTAACCTTCTTAGGAGCCCCTGTATAGACATTGCTGAGCAGAGAATGAGGCAGCTAGTGAGACCTAAGTGTAAGTAGAGGGAAAGGCACACCTGCCTGAGGGAATTCTGAATTCAAGTGCAGGTACCAAGAAATAGTAATCTTTTTAGCATTTTCACACTTAGTTGTTTGGGCCAGCTTGTGGGTAGCTTGTTGTAGTTGAGGGTAATATGGCCCCAGTGAGTAGACATTACCACAGACAAAGAGCATCTGCAGACTCTTCCACAGCGGACATTGAAAATGGTGACTACTTTACCAACAATGGATGAAATTCTTGCCCCTGGCAGGAATTTTAGGACCAACCAGGCGAGAGGTATACCTTGTTCCTAACTTGCAAACTTGCAGGCATGCTCACGTCAGAGGGTGTAGTTGTGACACAATAAAGTGATAAGTTGGTCAGGGCATGCCCCGGCAACCTGTGTAGTGATATTATTTGTGCTCTTTGTAAGCCACTGGAGATCTTTGGTGCTTTTAAGAGGGAAGGTGATGGAAACATCATAAATTGATTCTAAGGCATTTTTCCAGATCTTTAGTAACCTCTGGATATGAAAGTGAGTTTTACTCCCATCTGGTCCTGAGATGACAAATAAGATTTTTGTAATTCAGTACCAACTTTGATTAATTGGTAGTGGCCGCCTGGAGAGGCTTTGAGAAGGATTTTGAGGCTACATCTGGGCATAGGTGGAAAGATGGGCAGAAAAGATCGATAACCTGCCATGGAGCGGGACTGGGGGAGAGACAGGATGTCAGGCTCCTTCATCCCATCCTCTTCGTTTTACCTCTCTCTGCTCATGTGTCATGTGGCTCCCCTGTTACTTAGGATGTGACATTCTAAGTAGAAAAGAATGAAATAGAAGCTTCAGAAGTTAAGAACACAGCATCTGGCCAGCTCAGTGCTGGACTCAGTGAATGAACCATGGATGAATGGAGGCCAGAACATACCTAGTTTCCGTAGTGAGGGCAGGAACAGGATTTACACAGTGATGTAACGCTCCTGCGTCACATAGTGTTATATAGTTCCCATCCCTATCCTGAAGGAGAGTCCATTCTAGTTGCGAAGAAAAGACAAACATGTTTGAACTAATTAGAGCTTGTATGACAGGACAGTTTGTAAGCAATTTCTAGTCTGGTCCGTGAAATGGGTGGTGTGGGTTTGAACGCAGGAGTACATTGCTTTGGACTCTTAGCCTTTACACTTATTCCAATGTATCTGTGTTTTGCTTTGGAAAGCCTGGTTTTTTCTTGACTTCTACCAGAGCAACCCCTTCACCCCACCCTACCCCCAATTTTTCTCTCATTACTGGTGTCACTTAGGATGGAATATTTTGACTGGTTAAGGAGTTTTGTTTCAATTTCAGTGTCAAGGTGACATTGATCCATTAATAGAAAATAAATGTCATGTAGGTTTTTTTCAGTTAAAGATTATCTAGTCATAGTGTTTGTTTCCGGAGAAATTATTTATAGCATTTTTTAATTAAGCAAAAGTCACAGAAAAGCCTTTATATTGTAATGTCAGTGCATTTTGAAAATCTTTATCCTAAGTAATCACCAGTCTGTGCTTAGACAGAAATAGGAGAAACATGCTTTTCATAATGTATACATTTTGTGTAGAGTGGTCAGTCCATTTAATATAGTGCCTGAGAATATGAGCTCTGGATTCTTAGTCTCAGGGCTGCCATCTCCACCCGAACTCACCATGTTACCCTATAAGGAAGGTATCTGGGCTTGATTTCCTCATCTGTAAAATGGAGATGATGATAATTTGTATATGGCTGTTGTAAGGATTAATTGAGATCTTTCAGAGAGAGTCCTAAGTCAGTGCTTAGTCTATAATAAGGGCTCGATTATTGTTGGGTGTCACTAATGTTATTAATATAGTTACTGTTTTTGTTATTAGGTGGGTTTGTATCCTTGATTTTTTTGGGGGGGGGGTGTGACTCAACTTCACATTAGTGTTTTAATATAATTGACTGTAAACGGTGATAGTTAATAGTTTCTATATATACACGTGTATTTTTTTTCCATACAGGTTGAATGTAATTTTTACAAAATTTGATGAAGTCCAAAAATCTGGAAACATGATACAATCAGCAAACGGTGAGTAGAAAAAGCAATCATTCTATTTTTGCCTTTTCAGTTTTAGGTCAGTAAGACTTAGGCTAGTTCTGAACAGCTGAATTTGATATCTTGAGGAGAGTTTCTAGGTCTGAAGACTTAACCTCCATTTACCCACTTTCCCAGGCCGGAAACGGTGGGGTTGTCGCTGACTTTCTCTTTGGATCCCAGGCATTCTGACTGTAGCCACCACTCTTCTAGTGCAAGTGCTTGTAGTCTTCTACCTTTGCTCTCGCACTGGCCGCCTGACCAGTGTCCTTGCTGTTACTCTCCCCAAGCACCTAAAAGCTGTTTTTCACACAGCAGAGTAATCCTTTAATTTTTATTATTTTTAAATTTAAAAAAATTTTTAAGTAGGGCGCCACGCCCAATGGGGAACTCCAACTCATGACCCTGAGATTGAGTCGCATGCTCTGTCGACTGAGCCAGCCAGGCACCCCTAGAGTAATCCTTTTACGATGTAATTGATGTGATGTTAATCCCCGGTTCAGAATCCTCCAGAGGTTTTCGAGATCAGTGGCTCACCATGGCCCACAAGGCCCTGTACACAGTCTGATGCTGACCACCATTCTGATGTCATCTCATGTTCTTCCCCAGAGTTCCCTTGGCTCCCGTCCCATTGACCTCCTTGCTAATTTTGAACGTTCCAAGCTTCTCCTGCTTCAGGGCCTTTGCGCTTATGACTTTTTCTGTTTGAAACATTTGTCCCCTGGGTGTGTCTATGGCCCTCCTCCTCATTCCATCCAGCCCTTGACTGCAGACACACTTCATTACCAAGGCCAGCCAGTATAGCACATCCGATGTCCTAAGGGAACTCTGTGCCTTCATTCTGTTTAATGTTCTTTCTTACTGCATATTGCTGCAAAATAATGTGTTTATTCATGGGGGCAAGAACATTGTATCCTTCTTTATCCTTAGTGCCTCAAAAGGTCCCTGGCATATGGTATAGGTATGCAGTAAATATTGTCAAATAAACAAAATAATGACTGAGACTTGAATTGTGACTTAATGTTTCTGGTACTTACATTCCTTTGACTATACTTTGTGATGGTTGAGCACGTGGATATTTCTTGTGATTCCAGAAGGTGAAGAAAAGACAAGTGAATTTGGTGTATAAGTGTGTATGAGTGTATGAGTGAAGTCCTCACAAAGCAGTTGCCACCAAGAACTTTTTCTAACTTTACATACATCATTGTATCATAGCAATTTCTGAATTGCTAGGGATCTTAGATCACAGCGTGGCTGTCGAATTTTGAAAATCTTGAAGTCATAAAAAACGATTGTCACTTTGGGGAATGTCACTCCTAGTACATAAGGGCTGAGCAGGGGACAGGATGTAGGTCTTTTAAGTCCTGCTCTGCTGTGTACCTATCGTTATCAGTAAGGAATTTGTCTTTGCATGGTATGTTTCTTAAAGACTGCTTAAAGAATTCTAAACATGCTTTCATTAAGCCCTCTTATTTCTCTTCCGTGTGTTTATAGAAACATAATATTAAAAGGGCAAAAAGAGAGTATTTACAGTAATTCTGCAATCACCAGGAAATCAGTGTTCATTTTTTCATATTCACTTAACAATTCATTTGTCTGTTACTGTATAATTTGTAATTTTATCATGGCATGACTTCTGTACATTGCCCTCTACATTTTTTTTTTTTAAGATTTAATTTTTAAGTAATCTCTGTACCCAACGTGGGATTTGATCTTCCAACCCTGAGGTTGAGTCACACACTCTAGTGCCTGAGCCCGCCAGGTGCCCCCTACTTTTGTATATATACTTTCATATGTGCTTTACAGTGGGTCCATGGTAGAGCTAGAACCAGAACTCTGGCCGTGGAGTTGTGTTCCTATGATGAGTGGCGTTGATGGAGTACAAGGGCAGGGCTTCCCAGCCAGATGCCACACATGTGCTTTTAATTCTGTGTGTGTATGTGTGTGTATTTGTGTAGTTTCCCAGTTTAAAACTGGTTGGTACCAAGATAGAAAGTACCAGGTAAAGAGGTAGTGGTGGTGGGGGCTGAGAAGTGAGTTTGTGCTTTATAGCCTGTGTTATAAGTCATAACTGTGAAACAGAATCTGATTATAATACTGGCACTGGGGAGAAGGACCACACCCCTGCTGGGGCCCTTACCCGGGAGAGTGTTTGTATACTCTCTGAGTTTTAATGAGCACAACACACATGATTTAATCAAGGGTATTAAAATCCTGTGGCTTTGGGTGTGTCACAGCAACATTTTGTGCTAGACCTCCATGTCCTGTAAATACTGCCGCTGCATATCCATCTATGTATATGTGGTAAAGGCGTAGGATTGAGAATGAAGGCGGTTCCTTTAGGCATCTGTGTTAAAAATAGCAGATGGTAAGGAAATCTTAATTCGAGACTTACTGGAGGCCTTAAAATTTCAGCTTTTTGCTGTCTATATGTAGTATTACTTTTTAATTGTTAGAACCAAAACAGAATCACCTAAAGGGGTATGTATAAAGATTTTAGAATTCTTAACCCAAATAAGTTCAGTCTCTTTATGGTAACTTTGAGAGACTGGTAAGATGTTCAGTAGCTGTCAAAAGCAAACCGCCTAATTTCCTTCTTTGCTTGAGTCCTTGAACATTCAGATAGCATAGAGAAACCGCAGTTGGAACATAAGAAAACCCTATTCTGATTTTTGTTTTTCTGGTTCACTGACTCCCCGTATAACCAGTTTTTGAACTCCTCTGCACGTCAGACCATTGACTGCTCTACTTATTCTCAACTCTCCACCCTTTGCTTTCTTCAGTATGCTGCTTATATGGGTAGATTATGACCTTTCTGAAGTTTCCTGTTAGTTCTCTATGTCTTTGTAGATTCCGTGACATTTTCTGCATAGATTGACAAATCATCTGCAAGTAGGAGTAGTTTTATCTCTTTCCGATTTATATACTTATTTCTTTTTCTTGCCTTATTGCACTGGCTAGAATTTCCTCCTCTACATAAAGTCTAAGTAGTGGGAGTAGACCTCCTTATCTGGTTTCCAGTCTTAGGTCTTTCACAACTAAGTGTGATGTTAATTGTAGGTTTTTTTGTAGATGTTCTTTAGCAAGATGAGGTAGTTCTCATCTATTCCTATTTATCTAAATTTTTATTAGAAGTGAGTGTTGGATTATTTTGGGGGGAATTATCAGCATATTTTAAATATTGAGGTAAGTCTGTACCAAAAATTTGCTTTTTTAAAGTGTATATTGTTTTTGTATATTCACAAAATTGTGAATTATCTAATTATCTAATTCCAGAATATTATCTAATTATCTAATTCCAGAATATTTTTATATTCTGGAATACTTACGACCATTAGCACTCCCAATTTCCTTCTCCTCCTAGTCCCTGACCACCTACTTTCTGTCTCAAGGGATTTGCCTATTCAGGACATTTTATATAAATGCAGTCATATAACATATGGCTTTTTACGTATGCATAATGTTTTCAGGATTCACCCGTGTATCAGTACTTCATTCCTTTTTATGGCTGAATAATATTTCACCGGTGTATAGATATATCTCCTTATGTTTATCCACTCATCAGTTGACGGACACTTGGGTTGTTTTTACTTTTTGATTCTTGTGAACAATGGTACCATGAATATTTGAAAGTTTTTATGTGGAGATGTTTTCATTTCACCTGTGTATATACCTTGCAGTAGAATTGTTGGCTCCTGTGGTAACTCTGTGTTTAACCTTGGCCTAACTGGCACCTTATTTTCCAAGTGGCTGCGCCATTTTACATTCTTACCGACAATGTGTGAGAGTTGTAGTTTATTCGTATTTAAGTCAATACTTGTTACTGTCTGTTTCTTTGATTATAGCCATCCTAGTGGGTGTGAAGTGTTGTCATTATGGCTCTGATTTGCATTTCCCTAATGACTAATGATGTTGAGCATTTTTTTCATGTGCGTGTTGGCCATTTGTAGATCTTCTTTGGAAAAATCTCTATTGAGTTCCTTTGTCCTTTTTTTGTTTGAAGGGTTGTTTGTGTTTTTATTTATTTTTTTAATTGAAGTATGGTTGACACAGAGTGTTATAATAGTTTCAGGTCCACAGCATAGTGATTCCACAGCTCTCTCTGTTGAAGAGTGTAGCCACCATCCAGCACTTTCACAGTACCGTTGACGCTATTCCTTATGCTGTGCCTTTCATCCCTGTGACTTACTCATTCCCTGACTGGGAGCCTGTTCCTTCCATTCCCTTTCACCCATTTTGGCCGTTTTCCCACTCCCCGCCCCTCTGGCAACCATCAGTTTGTTCTCTATGAGTCTGTTTCTCCTTTTTGTTTCTGTGTCCATTCATTTATTTGTTTTGTTTTTTAGATTCCACTTGTAAGTAAAATCATATGGTATTTGTCTTTGACTTGTTTCACTTAGCATAATACCCTTTAAGTCCATTCATGTTGTTACAAATGGCAAGATTTCATTTTTTTTTTAAGATTTTATTTATTTGAGAGAGAGAAAGAGAGGGAGCACGAGTGGTGGGAGAGGCAGAGGCAGAGGGAGAGGGAGAAGCAGACTCCCCACTGAGCAGGGAGCCCGACGTGGGGCTAGATCCCAGGACCCTGGGATTGTGACCTGAGCTGAAGGCAGGCACTTAACTGACTGAGCTACCCAGGCGCCCCATATCTCATTCTTTTTAATGGCAGAGTATTATTCTGTTGTGTGTATGTGTTATCCATTCAACAATTGGGTTGCTTTCATATCTTGGCTATTGTAAATAATGCCACAATAAACATAGGGGTGCATATATCCTTTTGAATTAGTGTTTTTGTTTTGTCTTGGTAAATACCCAGGAGTGGAATTACTAGGATCATACGGTATTTCTAATTTTTGGAGGAACCTCCAAATTGTTTTCCACGGTGGCTGCACACATTTACATTCCCATCAACAGTGCACTGTACATACTTGCCAGCACTTGTTATTTCTTATCTTTTTGATTCTACCCATATGACAGGTATAAGGTGATAT